GCGCTAGACAATAGGCAATAATACACATACCCTGCGCTTAGGGGTCGCCTCAATATGTCCTTTCTGGAGGCTGGTGTCATATATCCCTGAAACCTATTACTAGAAAAAACAGTCACCTGATCGGTTTCTCAAGGCCATTTGTGCTTTCGTAGGTCGTTTCGTTTTGGGTTCCTATTGTTTAGAGTTGCCAGATTGTTTTCTTCTTCATTTTCATTAACTCTCTCTACGCGCACAATAGCATGCAGTAACTACATATACTCAAGCATTGTAACCTGAACATCACAAAATCCCGGTGGTTAACCTGTTGAACAATAAATGGTTTAGAAAAAGTCATAAAAGTAGCCCCAGGTAATTCATGAGGGAGGTCAGAATATCTTAGTGATCTGAAAATGAGTGATTATTAGGACTGGTACTACTTACGTAACGGGCGTACTAGTGGTAGGATGTATCTGCTAGCTACTACTCGACAGAAAGTCAATACTAACTAAAAAACCGTTATATTTTAGAAGGACCATCCATAATATCATTCTTGTCCCAGTGCACACTGATATTAAGGTAAGTTGATGCCATTTAATGCACTGAGCAGTTACAGTTTTCCGAAATTCCTTATGGCGATGTAAATTTAACTGGTAACAGATCTTCGGCTGAGCAGTTTTAACCAGGAATTTCATCAAAGTGGACATAATCACCATGAAATTCAGCCGCTTGTCTCATTCATTGTACGATTTCTTCGATATGACATGGAGGATTTCAGTCGTCACGGATGAAAGTAAAAATGTTTAACCTCCTCAGAATATACATCTAACTTATGTCTATGGGCTTATTCTATTTCAATGATCTGATTCTCACAGATTACCTGCTATGACAACAACCATTGCTTGTAGTCAATTTACAACCTGAAAATCTAAAACAACTCGCAAATAACAAAGCTTAAAGGTTCCCAAACGAAAATAATAGTCATTTCTATGCATACCTTCTTTAAATGCAGGCCTTTCTTTGCAGTAATTCGTCTGGGATATCAAGACATTAATGCGAAAAATACAAGAAAATATTGCGTTTTTCGGCTACAGAAGCTTAAAAATAGTCAAATATGCTCCATTTTAACAAAAATAAACGCTCATAATGCATCTATAGGCATGAACACGATAACTCGCACAGTGCGCGAAAATAAATCGCGATAGCCTTTATTCTCGCCCCAAGATGTTATATGTCAGCTCTTAAAGCCACCGCGCGGCTAACTTCCAACAAAAGTACAAGTTTGCAAACTACACTCAAAGACCCAAACCCAAAGCCAAGTCGTTCTAAATAGATTTGTATTTAAAGGCAAAGTGTTGTAGGTAGCAAAACTTCTAAGTCCAGTCGATATATAAAGCAGTTATGATACCAGCCCTCGATTCTGAGGCTACCTGTCTTCCAAACACAGTCAGCAACATGGGTGAACCAAATCTCTGTTGGTGCACTTAAACAAAATATATGGAACAATTCCAGATTAACCCTAAAACATGCTAATTTACATAAAAAAGGAAAATGAAATATAAAGCACGATTTCAATAATTGGCCCTAAACTCTCATGTATAACGACAGTACACCAGAATATCATTTCTCAGCTCTCAAGCTTGCCGCTTCTTTTCATAGTCATCTTAGATACTACATTACTATCCTGCATTTTAAGAGATGTAGTCAGCTGTCACTCCAGTAAAACTTAAGAACCAGGAATTTCTCTAACAATTTTTAAGGCCTTGTTAAAGACTGGTCCTTTTCAGTCACATTACAACTCAATATCCATTCTTCAAGTCCATTATTTTCAGGATGTTGTGCCTTAGCTGAGAAGCTACAAATCTTTAGGTATACTGCACATTGCCGTTGCCGAAGATCTCATAGTTTGAAACATCTGAAGTGTAACTATTATGGCACACTACGGGGAGTATTGCAGTGGCAAAAGATCGACTCACTAGCGATGAATGGATCCTATCATTCAGCTGACACAGCCTTGGACTGTTTTACAAAGTGGTCGATCATAACTATGTATTTATTCCCATATTCTCTTTCACACAAATGCCATCTTGCTTTTACTCAAATTATATCCATTTGAAGCACACATCTTATATTGCTAATAGGTGGTTCAGATTTCACCTGACGGTTAATAACTTCACCATGTGCCTGACGACAGTGAAGGGAAGTGATGAATGTCACATCACAAACGCTGGGTAAACGCTTATATATATATCTATGAGATTACAATGTAGTTCCTCCCTGTTATGAGTGACCTGACGACAAAAACTATCCTTTTTTAAGTGTGAACCTGTAGGAGGTGCACGACTCTGTAGCTAGTCCAACGGCACTCATGAAAACTTGATGTTTAAACTCATTCCCTTAATATAGGCTGCGAACTGCCTAATAGTTTGTTCTTTCATTATGTGGCTTGGAAATTCACATACTGTGGTCTAATTAAACCTGCCAATGAAGCAGCACAAAACCATCTTTCACTCGGGAAGGGTATTAAGGTGTTGCTTAAATGACTATCCAGATAGCGCGTCAGTATTGGTTTGGCGAGACTTCAGAGTAGCAGCCACCTGTAACAACTCTCAGAGTGACTAAGCTCAAATAATGCAACCAATATATAGAAGTTCAATTTGGGCACTGTGACAGAGTGTAATTCCACTACGGAGTAAATTTATTTGATTAAGGCACAAGTGCTAGAGTGTCATCGCCCATATTCCAATCAATACATTTACATAACTTTCCAACTTCATTTGTATGACTCTATTTTTTCTTAACCTTTGATTTCATTGGCGGCAGTCTTCTCATTATCTTTGGCATCAGTGATTTTTGATTCCTGCTGCACGCGGAAGGTGCAGATTCGATGAGCGAAGTGGGTGGAGAAGTTGATTATTCATGACATAAATACAAGTGACCATGAATTTCACGTAACTTTCGCTTTCTTAGTTTGCTACCAGTCTAGTTCCACAGTTCTGCTGAGTTAATGGTCAATTTTAAGGGTGAGGAAAATTATTCCACTTAACGGTTGATAGTTAACGCTCACGATATGTTTAGGAAGTTGCGAGTCCTTGCACTTGTTTAAAGTCATGTGATGACTGCTATTCTGTATCAGGACTTTGAAAGTATTGCAGTTATGCCACCATCGTATTGCTTTGTGACCTCCTCTGGGCACATTTAAAAAATCCGCAAAACCTTTAATTCCTACAGGTCAATGTAGACCGCAAACCAGAGCTCACTTTCGTTTTTAAGAAGCGCTGCTTTTGAGTTGACTCTATTGGCGGGTAATTACTTGTGGTTCTTTTGTAAGTCCTATCTTACCTCTTCGTTTCATAGGCAATTATTTTATTCGGTTGTATACAGTTTATTTTGTCTGTGAAACGACGACTTTATGTGAATTTGTGTGATCATGTTGCTGCTTGTCAATGTTAGCCGTCGGTTACTCATTTAAGTCGGATGGAAATGGGCCCATATTTTGTTGTTGATTGCAGCTTGATTCCACACAGTACTTCTTTAGTAGAAGTAAGGAATTTCCAGCATGTGATATCGGTAGCCCAAATTTTGAAGGCCGACCATTGATATCGGGTGTGCATCGGCAGGAGATCGAACCCCGGACCATGTTAATGGTCGGCGAGAGTCCTAACCACTGTACCACCGACGCACATGCATTTACTATTGGCCATGCCCATTATTCCCCCGTTTTCTGCCATTTTTGTCCGACTGAGTTGTAATGCACTTCGGGTGAGTGTTTGCAAAATATGGTAAGTGATAAATTATTAGCATTTATTCGACTTTCAAATGGAGTTAGTTGCCTCCCACATGGTACTGGCAGTATTTTCATTAAAGTACCCTTGAAGTGACATGAAGCTGCACAAAGAATATGCACTGCATGAAATCAACTTTCTCCATTCATTGCTTCAAGTTTTAGACATCGTGTACTTAAAGCACCACCTTACGTCTCATGGTGATGAACCGATGGTAATCAATACACCCTGAATAGCGTAGCGATAAGGAGGTTAAGCGCAAAGTGCTAGGCGAAAAGGGTAAATCAGTCGATAAGGATGTGAAGCTTCATCGATTGCAATGATTAGAACGTGTTTGGCATTCCAAGCCATTGTCTTCTCCAATGAGCAATTTTATCCAACGTAGGATTTAGTTGGGAAAAAGCTGTGATTAAAATGAAGCCCCCCATCAGTCCATGCAACCTTTTACATTTGGGTTGAGCCACGTAGGGAGGTGTAAGCTTTCTGGCTGGGGTCTTCTGAATACCGAAAACGACTGGAAACTACAGTTGGTATAGCTCAAAATATCTTACAGTGGTGTAGATGCATCCACTCTCCATGATCCTCCGTATCCACTTAACGGTCATGTTTTTCGAAGTAACTTTTCGTTCTTCGCATTTCAGTTTCTTATTGCTCTATTGGAATCTGATTTTTCTTGTCTTTCTCTACCTTGATGTGCTGCATGGAGTGTAGCAAGTTGAACTGCTGAGTTTCTGCCTAGATACTCAGTCGTTCAAATAGCGTAAAATTAAGTAACAGCATTATATTGTCGAAGGGAAACTCGTTTCTGTTTGATGTAAATTGCAACTCTGCCTGACATCTGAAATAATATCAGTATTCATTGATTGTTGAAGTCGAACAAATTATTTCCAGAGAAGTAAGCGTTAACGTCTGGGAGTGGCTAGTCAAAGTCCAACACCAATTTGTGAAATCAGTAGCTCTTGGTGTAGGTCTGGAAAAACGTCTTACCTGCTATCAGTATCATGATACTGACAAACTTTATAAACTCGGGTTTTCGATTGAGTTTCAAAGGCTTGGAGCCCATGTTGATTTTACTATTAAGTATTTGTTCTTCAATCTTGGTGGAAAGAAAAAGAAAAGACAAATATGGGTTATATTTATTGAGAATCATCTTTAGGGTGTCTTTCTGCCCAGCGTCTGATAAAATGTAAACATCCAATCGTTCCTCGTGTGAGTTTTAGATGACACTAACGGTCGTACGTTAGAAATCATGCCGGCTGCTTTTTTAAGCAGGGGCTAACTTCCCTAACCCAATGCACTAATTCGGAACTCATCAAAGATTTATACAGAACATTAAGCGTGTCACTGATAACCCTGGCAAAGCTTATGTGTACTAATCAGACGGTTCTGAATTATCATAGGTGCCACTGATCAAAATTGTATCAGTTTCTAAGTCATGACTCATTATGACATCTAGGCCAAAGTGCGTCGACTGATTAAACGTGGTCCTCTTACATATTATGTACTGGTACTTGTATATCTAATGCTCATCAATACTCAGTCATGACGTTAACGAGCAACAAACACTGGCTGGTCATAAGGTTTCTTCATCATGGCATGAATGTTTCAAGATCAAATAATCCTTGTGTAGTGATTCTTCTGTAACTGCTTAAATAGCTGCATTGACTAAAACAATAGGTCACTTCATTTTACACAAGTGTACTTGGACTCAAAACACGCCAGTTTCATATCACTCATGCTGACAGAATCAAATATGATCTTCATCTCAAGAAGGATGACGAATAGTATGTCTACGCTCTTCGAACTGATCAGATTGTCATTCTCTAGTCATTCAACTCACTTAATTCCGACTGTTAGCATTCCTTTTCAGTTATCACTGAAAAATCTAAAATAATAGATTAGTCAATAGTTGACAAAAGTTTAGCTAAGTTATCACATAAATCATTAAATTAAGCTTCTTGAGGAACATGCCGAAGACTCCGGAGCTATTTAAAAGTTGCGGCGTGGGATTATTGACTAGATTAACTGTTGCACTAGTTGGTGTGTGTGATTACAAGATAGTTCCACTGGACAGTGTTGGTAGTTGACCATTTTAGTTTTTGATAAACGAAACAACTCTTCCCGTGATAATGTCAAGGGTATCAGCTTGACTCATAGTATCTAAGATGATTATATAACCCTGTTATACATTTGTTTCCCGTAAAGTTCTTTTATTAAGTTGAACGTTTGGTTTCTTTGAAGTTTAACGATTGATTGCATCATCCCTAATGGACTGATTACTGAGAAAATCTCATCATGAATACAAAGGCTTATTCGACATTTGCCAATTTACATCTTGCTATCCATCAGAGGATGTGTATACTGCGCAACAATTTGCTTCATCTCGCTTTGCGACTGGGACATGGTGGTTGAAGATAGAAGATACAAAAAGAGAGGCACTCATTCTTTATCATAGATGCCCTCATGTTAGATGCGGCAATAGGGTCAGTAATAATAGTGTTAGGTCTGTTGTTAGATAAGAAGGGAACGACAATCATTGAGACTTTGAAGCTGAGTTGATTGAGGTAAGTAGAGTAATCTACTGTCGTGGTAGCACATATTTGATCTTTCTGTCTACAAACTGTTTTCAATAGCTTTTTTTTTACAGAAAACCAAAGTGATCAAGTGTTAGATGATTACGGACATCAGTGTTGTTTTGAAATAAATGTTTTATTACCTTATAAACTCATAGTGACTGACTGGTTTCAACATAGAACTTTGCACAGAAGTGCTGCAGTTCGAGTTGTCACGCTCCATAAATCATATAAAGGAAAAGATATTTGGGAGGACCATAATAAGCAGAAATATAAGGAAGAAAGGACAGTAACATAAGAAAACAAGAGAGTTTTTTGGATATGGTAGATCACAGAAAGTGAATGCATCTGCGCCAGTGAAAACAACTTTGAGCCATATCACCAACTGTTTCCAGTTGTTGGTTCTTAGCATCTCTGCAATCCCAACCTCCTTATGTGGATCAAACTAACTTAAAGATTTCATGGACCGATGTCATGTTTTCGTTTGAGCTGGTTTTTAGAGTTGTTTCCGTATTAATAACTTATCGACGGCTACAGATCACCGTAGAGCAATTCGGAATGTACAGTGTTTGAGGTCGACTTTTTCTAACTCCATCTCTCCAGAGTGGAGAGGCAGCATAGTTGGCATGCTAGGCATGTGAGAGAAACATCTTACTGCTGTTACATCCCTGTTCCCCAACAGTATGACTGCCGCAGACCCCCAGCATAGTGTGGACATCTTCCACTATACCGGTAACTGCTTTTAGTATATTCGCTATCACTGTGATATGCGAGCCCAACCACCATATCAAGGTGGCAACTATTGGCCAGGAAACTCCTAATGACTCCTGGTTGACTCCGTTAAAACTTCAATCAAATCCATTTGTAAATTAACCTACACATTAATGCTGTTTTCAGTTCGTGGGTGCTTGGCATTGCGGTTTAGCTAGATAATTACTATTGTTGGTTCTTAGTAGGCTTAACTCGTATTTGCTTACGCATTTGCGCATTGGTTGTCACAGCCTGTTCTGGCTTTCTTCAGCCACAAAAATGAAACAAATATATCTACTTACTATAGTTTCATTCAGCAACTGTAATCAGACGTTTTTCGTTTATTGAAATGTAGGTTAAAAGTTAAGATGGCTGACATAGATATAAGTAAACTTGGGATATCCAAGAATTTACTCCAGATGAATTTCATGCGACGAACTGTCATCTCCAAGGAAAAGGCAGTCAACAAGCCCTCTCCAGATACCCCTTCAAATTCACAAGAGCCAGAATTTAAGCTCCCTTCTTCTGTAGAGGAACATATTCGTAAAAAAGCTCTTGCTCTTGAGTCAAAAAATCGCTATCGATTTTCCGAGAGTATTTTCAAAATGCATAACCTACCACCTGGGTTTCGACAAAGCTTTGGTAGCTTCAATCCTCCTAATACCTCTCACTCTCAAACCAGCAACCCAACTCATTCATCCAACTCTATCTGTGCAAGTCTTACTGGCAAAAATGAAGCTTTGAAATCACTTGAAAGGGGGTCTGAAACAAGTATGCGCTTCAGAAGACTATTAAGTAAGTTTCATAAATTATATGTTTTGTTACTTAATCTATATTAAGTCACCTTCAGTAACCAAGAGCTGAGTCATCTTGAATTCACTCTTATCATCATCGTTTATTTACATTTGATTATATTGAATGAAAAGTAGCCATACTTGCTTTCTGACTATCCACGACCATCAAGGTGTGCAGTTTGTACAACATGATACTAGTGAGGGCGTCGTCCTTTTATATACCATGTGAGAAGTGAAGAAATGTCATCACAGTCTAACGCTAACCAGTGTTACATGAACTGAGACTTGGCTATCGTTACCTTGCTCACTGTCTGCTGAATAGGTCATATTTGTACTACTGCAGCTGGTTTTTTTTTCCATTGGTGGTTTGTTTCACAGCATTCTGTCTTTTAGTGTCTATTCATACAATATTTGGAGACACTCAGCATTCATTCAGGTTACCGAATAGGGGTCAAACACAATATTCCCACAGTCCTGTTTTGATGGGATTATTATAATTCAGTGTTCGCCCTTACCCTAATCGGTTTAGCTACTGTTTCCTTGCAGAAATTTCGAAGTCTCTACTTGTATTTGAATAAGGAAAGTGTAAAGAACTGCTGATCAAATTATTTTGATGACGAGACTTAAAGCAAAATTCCTATTTAAGGGTTTTTGACTAGTGAGTATAATCCTCGTTTGGTGATCAAAATCTTCACATTGTTCTATCTTGAATTTGTGGAATTTTTCTTTTTTAGTCTCATGCTTTTAAGTAAACTCTGTAAAATGAAGCGTAATCACAGCAGTTTTCCATTATGTGAATAATAAAACGGTTGCGGATTCTTGTGAAAAGAACCCTCCAAATTAGGAGGACATTATTTTTCGTGAAGATTTAATATTTATGAAGTAGATTTTCGCCGTCTTTATGCTTACATATCTTCTTGAAACTTAAAAAGTGTTGTTTCCTTTAGTGGTTATACTTTCAAAGTTATTTAAGACGACGATATTAAGTTAGACTATGCTTCACCTGTGGAGATATGGTTGAATAACTTTATTACTCGACTTTCAGTCACTAAGCTTCGGGTTTGAAGCCCGCTCCACCTAATTTGACCTGGTCAGTTGGTTGGCGTTATCATCCCGATACAATAAAGTGCTGTGAGAGAAATCTATTTCAAGTAATTGATTTCCAACTATGCTTCCTACACTTATTTAGTTTCAAACTTTTTTTTTACCTTATTATTAGCAATTAGTAAACCTGTGAATAATAAAAATTCTCTTAGACACCCACAAAAAGATGCCGCCATCATCTGTCCGTCTGGAGTTGGATTTTTCCGCGTTTCTCTACCATTTTGCTCTAAGATGGCAAACTATCAAAGAAAAAAAGTAGTATTCGCGCATCATAAAGCATAGTTTTAATAAAGATAGTTGGTTAACAGCTATTTGGTGTATAGTAACAGAGGTGATGTAAAGTAGACTGCTCGTCGATTCAAGCCAGTAGAAGAGTGACGAAAATCAGGTTAACAAGAGGAAATGTAGGACGAGTAACGAAATCATGTCATGGTGAACCATGGTAATAGAGTCATTAATGTGTAAGTGTCAATTTAATCAACTTGGAACTATTTCATTTATGAATTTTATTCTTGGTTCATGGGTCATAGGAAAATGAACGCAATCAAAGTAGCCGGCTGTATGTTATTCTCGCTATTCCTACCCCAATAAATTCAGACGAAATTAATTGGAACTGGAAAGTATCATTGGTTTGCTTAAACCTTCTTTTAGATTATTTCTAGCCTTTATTAGTGACTTTTGGGCTTCTGATGCCGTCCACTTGGTTAAATTCACACTTGTTTCCTGGAAAAGCAAACAAGTAAGATTATCATATCTTGCAGTATTCACGATTTTTGAAAGACTAGCAAGTTATGATTTTTTAAAAAGGAAATTACTTAATTTTTTTTCACCTAGATCCTAAACCGAATACATCGTCCAAATCCAGAAGTACAAAACGCCGGGAAAAAAGAAGAAGACAGCAGTGGAGAAAAATAATGAGTTCTTTACAGAAAGATGAATGATAAAAAAATTCAAGTATATTTTCTCTGATACATTATTGTTTTATTTTTATAAACTCATCCTGCATTAGGTGTAATGTTGCAAAGTCAATGCTTTGTTTTTTGTTTCATGACAGGCTGAATCGCTATAGCAGCCAATATTTTTAATACAGCTGGTAAAGGTCTAATATCCCTCTGACTATCATACACATCTTTATTCTGTCTGTGGTAACCTCTCGTGAATTAGTGGTCATCTAAGCAAGAGATCAAAACCGTTTGGGAAATGTTGCATCCAGCGTTCCAATAGTCTTTGATGATTTTTTGTTTGTATACAATCTGCCTCAGTGACTTCAAACACCTTACTATCAATCAATCGAATGAACAAGAGAAAGTGATTATCAGATGCAGCAGTTACTCCCATATCACCTGTGACTTGTAACCAAAACACTTCTTTCTGTAAACTCGACCGTTAGCTACTACCTTGACGTGGTGGTCGGGCCTGTATTTCACGATGGCTGGAGTTAATGTTCCTGCAGGTCTTACCGTGATAGGTTGTTTGGATAGGGATTAGACTAAAAGCAGTTACCGTCATAGTGTAACTTGTTTACTCTACTGGAAGCATTTGTTTCCCTATTCTAATTTAAAACAAGCAATAAATGTTGATAAAGCAGGATTCAGTGAATTCATCAAATTTCGGTGGAACTCTTCGTCTGAATACTCTACATACACTTATATATGTGGAATGGGGTTAGAAAAGGTGGATCCCGAAAACTACATTCCGACTTACCTTGCGGTGGTCCGTATCCGGCGGTAAGATCTTAACATGGATACAACCCCAAAAACCAACTTTAACAGGCAGCGTGTGTGTGTGCTCGGTCTTGGCATTGCAGACACTCGAAACTAATGCCCTTTCTGTTTCACGTACCTAAGGAGAAAATCAACTTCCACATTGTGGGAAGTAGTAACAGTCCACACACTTTCACAATCACAAAAAGCTCCCCTGATCATCACTCACCTTTACCTACATCATAATCATCTTGCTTTCCTACCACTTAACACTATTCCGCAGACAGGTCTCTTAACTCTGTGACCACCAATAGCGATGGAAGCCGATAGTTTGTCAAAACCACGCCACTGAATCGGACAACAGACATCACTAGCCACAACTCTGGCATATCGATCCGTGGATGTATGTTGTATTGTATTTCAGCGGCCATCTCAACTATTACCTAAACGGATGGGTGTAAATAAATTGGTCAGACATAAAAGGTACAATTCACTAGTTGACTTTGGATCGCGGAGGTCAAAATAAGTTGGGTATAATGAGACAGAAACATGGAATCAACCCATGAAGTAACTGATTGCTGGTGTGGATTACAACATAGAAGGGTGAAGTTTTTCTGGTGGGTCCTCGCGATAGGTAAAAGCAGTAGTTAGGAAATCTTTACTAATCTTCATCTGATTATTTCTGTTATAGGACAGTTTTTTCCACTGGTTTTGTAAGTGCCTTGTATGAAACTTTCAGACTTAGTCTCAACTTCGAACTTTGGCATAGTGGACACAGTGGATGTGGGGAATTGGAGAATGAATGCATCTGCACCTTTGCGAAAGATTTTGAGCCACATCACCAGCAGTCTCAAGCCACTGATTCATAACGTCTTGAGGACCCTAACTAAGCATTCCACACTTCCCTACATGACTCAAACCAACATTCGAAGACTTGAATACATGTGCGGTTTAGTCGACCTTGCGGCACGTCACTGGGTGAATCGAAAGTAATAAGTCTACAGATGTTAGTTCTGTAGGGATTTAATTAATCCCGAAGTAGGAGCTGTTTAATATTCTTTGGTCCTCGGTTATTATCCAACCAATCATGAGTAGTTCAAGCTACTTTAGCTATTACACAACTCTCTCTCTCTCTCTCTCTCTCTCTCTCTCTCTATATATATATATATATATATATATTAGATGTAGGAGTCAGAATTAAAACTGTGATACTTTATTTTAATGGGAACAATCATATTCACGGCAAATAAATTTTCAATTGGTAGAAAATTTACACTTATTTTAGACAGTGTTCGTGCTTTGTACACATGATTAGAAGTATTTTCTGTGAATAATAATAGTAATAATATTCTGTATTCCTAGAAAAAACTTCTACTACTGTTTTTAAACACATTAATTAATGTCTACAAAAAGTTTAAATAAAAAGCTGGTGGTATAAGTAATCATTTGAACTGTGCATATTTATATCAGTATTGACTTCTGTGTATACATTGGCAATCGATTAATAGTGTTTCGTGTTCGCAACAGTAAAGCTTCTGTAATTCCTTGTTGAAAACTGTTGGTATTTTCTCACTCTTTGTTATTCAGCCTGTGGGTGAACTGAAAAATGCAAGATGATGAAGTTGAATAAACAATTTCATCGGCTTACTAATGATTGGAAAAAAATCTGAACATGACCATACGATTAATTTGCTTGTTTTTATATTTTGAGCAGCAGAGTATGACTTTTATTACATTGTTTACTTTATAAAGGGAAAATATATGAAAACACTGTACATTACAGTTTGAGAGAGAGAATGCAAAACTTCCAGTTTGTTTGTTTCGTAGTGTTTTCTTCATACAAAGGATGCAGTTCTCCTATCATCACATACATACCTACTGCTAAGTAGCTGACACTTTATAGATATAATGAAAGCATTTACTGAGATATTCTTCAATAGATTTGCATCAGACTATTCAATGGAGTAACTGAAATCTCTTTATCAGAAGAATACTAGACACAATAGTGTTTAGGAATTCATTTGAATACTTTAGTGCAGAAAGGCTATAACTAGACAGAATCTAATATTACTGTAATTTATATAGTGAAACTTCGTTTTGTCTGCTGTCTACGATTATTTTAGACCTAATCATGTGTCTGATATAACATGGGATTATAATCACTGTTGCTTACTCCGTATTTAAGAGCCAAAAGTCACTCAAGCTCGAAAAGTGACTCGTTTGATTTACAATCTGATAGAATGTTTTCCCTTCTATGTAAGACTGAAAATATTACAGTACGTTTGAACTATCCACAAGAGATTGTATTCAGAAGGCGGAAACAATAAACACATCACTTGATCAGTTAGTCCAACACCGAGTGTTGTCGAGCCGTTTTATTAGCTTTGTTTCTTAGTCTGAGTCTTTAAAGATATTTGAGTTTCATTGACGGTACACGGGTTAAGTGTGTTACCATCAGTCATAAAGTTCGAACCCAAGATTTTCTACAGAGCACCTATAATTACTAAGTACCGATTATGCGTTTACCGTACGTTTGAATTATTCTTGAGTGAAGTCAGTCTGTTTTCGACATAGAACCTTGCACCGACGTGCAGCAGTTCAAGTCGCCACACTCCATGTAGCACACAAAGCAAGAGAAGAAATGCATAATAGAGACAGTAGTCAGGGATATGAGACAAAAGGAGTAGTAATAACAAAGAAAACTGTAGTTTCATTGGAAATGATAAGTCACAGG